TTTTTTCTGCTTATTTTACTCTTTCAGTCTATTCTAAAGTATTCTCTTAGTCTTTTCTAGAATAATATAGCTGAAACTATACATGTTTAAGCCCTTTCTATACATTTTTGAAGTCTTTTTGGTACAAAATAAGCAAGCAATAATTCTCAGTCTTTGCCATACATATTTCGGTTTATCATTCAACATGTAACATTTGACTTATTGATTGAGACCCAAAAAAAATTTAAATTAAGTGATTAAATGTGAGTTTAGGGTAGTAAATTGGTCATATCTTGTGATTTTTCTTGCCTTTTATAACCTTACGATCGCAATTACGGCTGACCTGCCTATCGCTGCGCTGCTAAAATGTCTTCATTAGCATATTCACACTACATTATTCTCATTGCTAAATAGTTATTAGCTATCTAAGTTTAAATATTACTTACATTTTAATTTTTAAACTCCCTCCAAATTTTTTCTCAAGATTGCCAGATTTTCGAAATGAATAAGTCATAGCATTTTATAAACTCTTCTAATACATTCATTTACTCCAAAAAATTGGTATTTTGATTATTATATATGAGTGCAAATTGAATAGCGTAAGTAATAGTCTTAAATTGTGCGCAACGTATTCTAAATAATATTATGGCTTACGTGAAGATATAGAATTACTGATTTTCATTACTGCTAAAAAAGTTTGTTTTTTTAAATTTATATTTTTGTGAGAAGTGAAAATTTTATTTGAAATAATAAGTAATCAGTTGGTATCAGTATAGCAGTATTTGTTTAAACAGTCTCAAAGTATTGTTTGAATAATCAAAATAGAAGTAGTAAAGTCAGCTTGAAGATGTTTTGAATGATATGACTTATTTGTTCAAATGTGACCTTCTTTTCTACAACCATTATACAGCTTTCGTTCTTGAACTTACGTATTGTATTGCTTTTTATTACTTTGTTTTGATTTCTCACACGTCAATTAAATGTTTCATGTGAAAAATACATCTTGTATAATAAGTACCCTTAAAATAATTACCTTCTGCCCATTGATTGTACATTAAGAGTGGACAAGAAGTATCTGAAACAATGATTTTATATTCATCGCTTAGCTTAGATATTGTCCTGGCATTGAGCTCTCTTCAGCGAATGTGATAACACTTCTGAGAAATCAACAAGGGAGTAGTTGTTCAAGTACATTCAATTGTCTTTCAGTTAGAAAGTAAGGCACATCAGTGGGGAATCATAATTTTTGTCATGAATTAGCCATCTCTAAATATCTTAAACTTAAAACGTAATTTTGGCTCGGTGAATAGATGATGCTAAGTTTGGTTAGCTTGCTTACTGTACTCAGCGAAGCGATAGTAAGACAGAACACACAGCACTACTGATTTTATCGTTAAATAGCAGTAGCATGCGTCAGAATATTCATATTTGAGCACTTAATAATCAAAACTAATATCTCTGAAGTATTATTTATTCCTAATCATGTCAGCTTTTTACTATATATAGCTTTTTTGATATGAACGATAGTAAACTGAATGTGCAGATGTTAGATATTAAGTAAAGCAATATCAGTTGATGCACACATATGTAAATATATTTTCAAAAAATCACAAATATTTTTAAATATGCATATAAATATCGAGAAAAAAGAGATTGAAAAAATCATCTTGAGTAAATTACGTTACCAAAATTTTTGAATTCATTATATTGCATCAATAAATTCTGTAAAGATCTCCACTTTTTATATTATAATAAAAATCAAAATAAATGTAGCAAAATACTAGCTGAATTAAGTGCTTGGAACTATTTTCTTATTCAAATATTGCTGAGAGGGATTTATTACTTGACCTGAGTATGAATATAATTTTAGTCTCCAAATGTCCTGCTAATGATCTATTGTAGCATTAGTAGCACTTTCCCAGACTAAACAAATACTTCACATTTTTATCTACAAAATCACATATTCAGTGAGAAAATATTTACTTCTGATATTTTTTATTTTTGCATAAAAAATTTTCGCCGAATTCAATTTGTATTACGCTGCGTGTGCATTTGCATTTTCTTCTTTACTTATCAAAATTGAAGTAAATATTTATTACCAGTCAATTAGTTCATCATTATTAATACGAGATTACTATGTTTGTTGAAGTATATAACAAAGTAAGTAATTAAGTAAGTAATGTAATTCATCTGCTTGTTGCTTAATCATAACGGATCAAGCCCACTTTCACTTTATTTTGCTCTCATTTTCATAAATATTTTCAAAGATATCATTTCTAACTTTTTAAATTCTTTCTGTGCTGTATTATTTTAATTGACACACTCTGAATACATCCTCTCTATTTCATATCTAATAATTATTACTAAAGTTGTATTTTTTTCTAAATCTTTTATAACAATAATTAATTGGAAAAAGTGTTTAAATCTTCTCTTTTTTTGTAATCAGGCAAAATACACATTTTGGCTCAGTTACAATTTATTATTATTATTATTATTATTATTATCATTATTAAATTAATTATTAATTTATCTTTGCTAATTATTTAAAAATCTTTCATGAAATTTTGAAGAACTATTTACTAATGTTTATATTTAGATTTTAAACTCAATGTTATAACTTATTTGTTAATTAATTGCAACTACGATCCATACTAATAATCAGTTACTCATTTAATCACTACTAAAATCCATGTTCTCGTCATGTCCCCAAAAAAATACTGTAACAATAATCTCGTTAATATTTTTTGAATTTTAGCTTTTTCAAATTTTTTTAGTCAAAAAATTGAATATTTAAATTTATTTCTATTAATTTCAGCAGTGCAATTGAAATAATACATACTATTCATATTACTGATTGAAAATTTTGAACAAATTTGTAGAAACAGTAAGCAAATAAATTAGCTGCAGCCTATTGTTGTTTGATAAGTTATTGTGGGAAATACAAAAAATAATTAAGCAAGGCTAAAATGCTACTAGAATTAGCAACTTCTTTCGCTCATCAATTAGCTTCTAAAGGCTATGAAATCTTTGAGAGCAATGGTCGAAGAATCCCTATAAGTGATGATGATTTGAGAAACCGATATCAAGTATGTTTTGATCTCAAACTAACTTGCAATCATCCCTTCTTAGCACATAAATAATCCAAGTACAGTTTCATGTGTAAGATAAAGATTTATTTTAGCTGAAATTCTGTTATAAATATCAAAAATTTTTTGAAATATTTGCTTTTCAGATTGACGAAATCTGTCGCCCATTTTTACTGAGCAATGAAGACTTGAAGGAAGTCATGACAAAACTTGAAATAGCTATTGAAGAAGGCTTAAAAGTCAAAACCGGTATGCCTTCATTATGCTCTAATTCTTAATCTGATTGAACTAATTAATAAAAAATAAAATAAATATCTGATAGATACCTGATTCGACTTAGATTAATCACAAATCAAGAATTCATTTATGATTTATCAGATTATGCATTTGAATTCTGTAATAAAATACACTTTATAAAATGCAACAAAACTATTTTCTTAAAAAATGCAGTAAAAATTCATTTTATTTTGTGTTGATCGAATAACTTGACAGATTGCATTGTTGAAATTTCAATTTAATGTCATTTTCAGTTTTTTCGTAAGTAAATGTTAAAATGGCTTCAATAATATTTTATTTTATTTAGCTCCACAGGCGGCTGTAAAAATGCTACCCTCATTTGTTCGGTCTGTGCCGAATGGTACCGAAATTGGAAAATTTTTGGCATTAGATCTTGGTGGAACGAACTTTCGTGTCCTACTGATTGAATTACATAAACGTGAGGCTAAAATGACTGGAAAAATTTTCCCCATTCCAGAGCATATTATGCGTGGAAGTGGCGAAGTGGTATAGCATATTCAAATTCCAAGCAATTTTAAAATTCAAAAAAAAGCTTTTTTAGAGATGAAAAAATGTAAATGTACTATATTTTAGTATGTATCGTTTTTGCAGCTTTTTGATCATATCGCAGAATGTATGGCACGTTTCATCAGAGGAAGTGAAATCGAGCATGCTGATAGGCTTCCGCTCGGTTTCACGTTTTCTTTCCCTTGCAGACAAGAAGGTTTAACATGTGCAAAACTAATTAAATGGACTAAAGGTTTCAGCGCAAGTGGCGTTGAAGATAAAGATGTTGTATCACTTTTACGTGAAGCCTGTCAACGTCGAAAGGTTTTTCATTTATATTTATGTAAATGTAGAATAATTTATTTTTATTATTAGTAAAATAAATTAACAATAAAAGTTAATTATGACGTAAAATAAAAAATTTTTCAGGATATTAACATTGATGTTGTAGCCGTTCTTAACGATACAGTTGGCACCTTAATGGCATGTGCATTTAAGGAGAATACTTGTCAGATTGGTGTAATCGTTGGAACAGGTACAAATGCGTGCTACATGGAGAAAATTAAAAGATGTGAAAAATTGAAGCATATGAAACTTGAAGAAGATGGAATGCCTGATGAGGTATTACTGTATTTTCTTTTACTGCTTTTATTCCGGTATTTTGTGATTTACTCTTGAATTATTACGATTGCTTATTCATAAGTAAATTCATATGTTAGTTGAAAAATCTTATCTTAAGTAACAATTTCTAATGCTACTTGAAGAGAGCTGAAAAGAAAAATTTCAAGAATATTAACTGCAGATGATTTTTAATACCGAATGGGGAGCTTTTGGAGACGATGGAAGTTTGGAATTCGTACGAACTTGTTTTGATCGAGAAGTGGACGCGAACACAATCAATGCTGGCAAACAATTGTAAGATTAGTTTAGAAAAATTATCTTATTCCATTGGTATCTCAATTCTTCTGCAAATTTGACTCCAAATAATGTCAGTCTTAAATCTTATCATTGATCACTGATCAAAAGCTGATATTATCGATGCTTCGATGAGTTAAAGGCCTTATATAGTTTATCAGACTGATTGAATTGTAATTGTATCTTCATTTTCATTTTTGTTTTTTGCATTAGTTGTGATTAATTATATTACTGCTATTGTCTTTTATGTTTGTAATAATGGCAAATTTAGATGATTTCAACTCGTATTAATCGCATAACTAAGGGAAGTTGGCTTACTGGTGACTTTCATTAGGAATTTTGTTAACCCAAAAAATTTGTTCTTTTAGGGATGATGCATATTACCATGTGGTTGTGCATAGTGGGACTCGCAGTTAGACGCGCTCACTGCAGCGGCAGTGTTTGCAATGCCTGAATTTACGTGAATTTCTACTGGAAAAAATATTACTATCAAGTAACGTGCCGCTGCAAAAATAAAAAAAATTGAAACAAAAAAAAAGAAACGTCAAATTAACAAAATTCTGGCTGCGAGTCACTTTAAAATATTTACAAATAAAACTAGGCCTACATTGTACATTCAAACAATATCTTGCAGTTTACAACTTATCGTAAGTTGTTGCTACAAAACAAAAATCACCGAGAAATATCTGGAAATGACTACGAAATTTAAGTCAAATCATTATTTTTTATTTTTACAAAATCAAAACTTTTGATTTTTTCAAAAGTATATCTGAAATTCAGCTGTATCAGTCTAGGCTTGGTTTTGTGAATCGACTTAAAGTTAGGCTATTTTGTTTTCAAATTGTCAGAAATAGAAAATATAAATAATCAATTTTATCTGACACTATAAAAGTACTGAACAGGTCTTTTGTAGCATCAGTCTTACGACCTGATATGCGCTGCTTGTTGTAAGAAAAAAGTGAAGTATAACGTTACAAAATGATATATTACAGATTCGAGAAAATGATCTCGGGAATGTATTTGGGTGAAATCGTACGTGTCATTCTAGCTCATCTTGCACGTGAAAATCTCATTTTCGGCGGTGATTACAGAGCTATATCAAATCCACATTCTTTTCCTACCAAATATATTTCCGAAATCGAAAGGTATCTAACTGCTCAAAATATGATGATTGACTCAGAATTTTTACATCGACGGAATCACCGTTATTGCAATATAAAAAAAGAACTAGAATTGTTTACGGCAAAAATGAAATAACATTTCTTGGTGTTCATCACTTTTTTTAGCCAAAATTTTTCTTTCAAAATGCTTTTTTCCTGCCAGGAAAATAGTATATTTTTTAAGTCTATCTAATTCAGACTAGTAATTTATTCATCACTTTCTATAAACTTTTTACACTTTTATTAAATGCCTGCAATATGTTTCCATCCTCTAAGTGATAAATGTAAGCGGATATTTTCAGTATCACCTGTTTTTTTTTGCATAAGATGCTCCCTCACATTTGTTATGAAGTCAGAAATTTCAGAGAGATTCTGGAGGATGATAGTCGATGTTTCTCAAAAACAATGCAAATTTTAGAAGAAATTGGAGTGGAACAGGTATCTGTTGTAGACTGTATCAATACCGCATATGTTTGCTCCCTTGTTAGCACACGGTGAGAATTCACTTCTATTCCTTTTTTATTCTGAAAGTTTGCAATTGAATAAGTATAAATACAAAAATAAATTGTAAGCAGCAAAATACAGATCGTTTATAGAAGATCACATCGTGAAAAGAATAAAGTACAAAAATGATTTACCGAATTTCTTACTTAATTTAATAGCCTACTAATAAACACTAATCTAATTATATGTTGTGAAGAAGTTTAATTACAGATCAGCGTATTTATGCGCTGCTGGCATAGCAACTTTACTATATCGACTACAGAAACCTTTCGTTACTGTAGGCGTTGATGGATCTGTCTATCGTTTCCATCCAACTTTTCCACGATTGCTCGATGAGAAAATAGAGCAATTAGTTGATGATAAGTATAAGGTTTGTAAGTTGCAAGTTTAATTTTGGCTTTCCTTTAAAATAAAATGATATGGAAATATGAACATTTACATTCTGTATTTTGTATACTGTACTTATCACTCTTCTCTTTGACATTCTTTCAAAAAAACTGATAGTAAATTCTGTATATTAACATATTAGCTAATATTAAATTAAGTTTAGACAAAAAGAATTATTGAGCATATTCCTAGATAAATACTGTAAAATTGATAAAGCACAATAAGTTACAAATCATAAAGATTATTGTATTGTGTACAAATAGCATGACATAAGTCAGAAGAGCAAAAGTTTATCGGAAAGAAATTAACCCTTCATTCTAAACATTATGGTGTAGCTTTTATTGTAGCGCATTATACCTGTGATAATTTAGGTTCTCTTGCGCGCAAAAATTGTAGTACAATGTTCATAACGGTATGACTTCTTGTGCATTCTAGGATAATATACATTCCATTACAGTATCAGCTGATGTTGTCAGAGGACGGAAGTGGCCGAGGAGCAGCGTTAGTCGCAGCAGTTGCGTCACGAGTCAAAAATGAATGTTTTTGCGCTGGCTGAATGAATAACTTAAGCTACAGTTTAACAATAACTTTTTTTGTTTCCTTAATTTCCGTATGTTTTCAATGTTTTTGTATTCTGTGTTAAATGTTAAGATTTTAGTGATTGATATTTGTTATTGAGATAGTATTTTTCAAGAGTCCTATTCTGTGTTCCGTACAATATTAATAAAAAAAACAAAAAAACAAACAATAAAACAAAACAGACAGATTTAGAGAACCATTTATGTTTGATCATTACTGAAAATAATTCTAGCATCGGCATTTCCCACTACTACACCAATAGTTTGCTTCAATATTCAGTGTTACTCTGTTGATCATTTTTTGAAATCATTATCTCAGATATCTATTATTACGATATAATTCGTTAGTACTTCTGAATGTACCAAATCTTTCTGTAATCATAGTTTTTTATCTATCGTATGAACAGTTTGAAGATCTCTTCGTTTTTGCCATCTGTAGAAGAATTAAAACTCTATTCTTCCTCTCGAAAACAGTGATAATTATACGAATATATCTTGAATATATCTTCCGTCACTTTTTCCCTCCATTACGTCAACAAACGTCTTGTGAATATCACTCAGAATGTTTTCGCGCCTACACAAATATCTGTTTATGTTTGATCTTCATTTTTCTTGCGTTTGTAGAGGAATATTGGTTATTGTATTTGATTAATATTAGCTTTTTCATCAACCAACTTTATTACAGTCATGCTTTTCTAGCAAATACCTGAGATACGGTAAGTTCAAAAGTAAAAGTAATAAAGTATAAGCCTATTTGGAAGACTTTAACGGATAGCCAGTTCAGCACCAAAATGAACGCCCATAATGAGCAATTAATCTCCTTTTTTATTAGCTTACTAGAAAATCAAGAAAGCATCATACTGCTCTCACCTAATTTACATAAGCACTTGTTTAAAATTTTAAAAGCGAGTCAAAATGTATTCAAGTAAAATTTAGCTCTTATCTGCCTGCTATTTGGCTGTAATTATATTTATTTGTTTCTGCTTTCTTCAGTGAATAATTAGTAAAAATAGTTTTGTTGACGTGGTTCTACGTGAGATAGTTGCTATTCTCAGCACTTTTGTTTTTACTACACAAACAAACTTTGTTTCTCAGTAAGCATATACCACTTGTTTTATTTTTGCTAATAGTTTTATATGCAATTTTAGATTTAAAGAATAATAAATTTGTTTAGCGCCAAAAGACAATACAAAAAACTGCTGCAAAAATGCTCAATTAACGGATTAACAAATTGAATTGACTTGACAAGTAATTACTGAATTTGTACAAAAAATTATTGTGCTGTACAAAAAAATACGACATATTGCTTCCATAGTACAATACAGAAGCAGAAATATTCGATCTGCCTCTATTCTTTATCATTCAATGCAAAAGTTGTTTTGCATATCCATTGATTAATTAAGAAGAAAACAAACTGCTTGAAATAGATATCTGTGTAAAAGTTACAGAATGGTCAAAATAAATATTTGTGTAAAGATGGAAACAGGTCAAAATCCACTTTACCAGGAACGAAAATAAAAATGGAAAGCGGAATTAGTGGATTAGATACGGAAATAAGGGGTATAATGCGGATGGACGTATAGAATAGTATCACTCACGCATTTGTGTCAGTCACTAAAAGAAAACGTAATTTTGTGCGGTAAGGTTTTGTGTATGTTATGATGCCAACGTAATTTGTGGAAGAATTAGCTAACGATGAAAGGAGCCTTCATGTTCAATCACTGTTTTCCGTTTATTTGGCGGAATCTTGCCGTAAGTTTTTTCATCTTTCAACTTCTTATCCTTTATTATCCACTAACTTACATTAACTCAGTAATGAATTCTGGAAGAATTAAAATAGTTTTTTCAAGTAAACAGTACAGAAATCAGATGGATTCTTAAATAGAAGACAATTAGATGTTACATTATTGTGGTAAAACTTAAAAAATTGATCAAGATCGGTAGTTTATAATCAGTACAAGGATTACAATTAATTCAACAAAGATTTGAGTACATAAAACCAAAGCTTTCTGTTAAACTGATAGAGTAAAATGAGCTAATTAAATGTAGATAGTATTAATTATGTGCTAAAATAACATGCAAAACATAATTATGAAAAAATAAAAGGTCAAATATTCATCAAACAATTAAGGATTGAGAGGAATATTAAAATACAAATGATAGTAAGTTTAAATTAATTGTTTCTTTTGTGTTCAGATAGTAATTAGTATAATTATTTCAACATTCTTCTGAACTTTTTACCGCTCTTAAATGTTTTAATTCATAAACCGCTAAAAAACAAATACTTCAAAGTTTATTCATGAAATGAGTGTGATATTTGTAATTAAATTCAAAATATGAAAGATTAAATACGTAAGAAAAATTTAATGATAAACAATAAAATTCTTTTCATAGGGCTGTTATTGATATGAATGTCATCAGTCACTTGTTGGGAAAATATATCATTTAGTGATTGTTGGATTATTACTTCTTTTTCATTAAAAAATTTTCATTGCAGTTGGTGATGTTAATGGACTTCAGAAATATTAAAGTTGTCAGCAAACAAATTTATAGTGTGGATGAATTTGAAAATAGATAAGGCATCGAATATATTTCAGTGCAAAGCTTATCGCACTGCGAGTACCTTGGTATTAGCAGAGTATTCTGAAAATAAGCTCAATCCAATTACGTTAAAAGCAGTTAACGCAGCTTCAAAGTTTGGTAAATTGCAGGCGCTGGTTACGGGTTACAATGTTGCCGGTATTGCTGAACAGGTTGTCACAGTTTTTGCTAAATTTACTGAGTTGCTGCCGCTATTTTTTGTTTGCAGCAATAGATGGTAAATTGAATATTTCAAAAGCATTTTCTAATTCACTTTATATCATTACCTGAATTGTAGATGTCAAAAGTGGAAGGAGTTGAAACGGTATTTCTGGCGGAAGATCAAAAATTGAAACATCAGCTTGCCGGTCAATTTAAAAAATTTTTATTGAAAATGCTATATGAAAATAACCTCGAGGTAAATAGTAATTCAACATTTAAAGCTTTATTCATATGCTGAAATAAAATTTTCAGAATATGTTGCAAAAGTTGTGGAAACACTTCATAATCAGCACAAATTCACTCATATAGTAGCAGGATCATCAACGTTTAGTCGTGATGTACTACCGAGAGTAGCTGCGAAATTCGATTCCTCTCCTATAACTGATATAGTAAACATTCACAGTGACGATACGTTTACGCGTCCCATCTACGCTGGTAGTGCACTATGTAAGGTAGACTTCTAAGACTCCTTCACAACTGGTAATGATTCTGTCAAATAGATAAAATAAGAAATCTTCATAAATTAAATTTTCCTTTTCTCTTTGCTGTAGAGATAATATTTACAGGTGAGAAGTGATGCCGCAGTCAAATTTTTAACTTTTCGCGGAACAGCATTTAAACCAGCTACGGAATCTGGTGGTAATGGCAAAATCGAAGCAGGTATAAAAAAGTTCCATCTCTAGTATTAATAAAAGCACAAAAATCAAAATTCTCATAAAGAGCTTTTTCAGTTTCCAAAATTTTTATCTGTCTTTCAAAAATGTCAATTTTCAGCTCCCAAAGTAGATTTATCGTTTGATGGTATTGAATTTTTGTCTCAAGAATTTGTGAAATCAGAACGACCGGATTTACAGAGTGCAAAAGTTGTGGTCTCGGGAGGTCGTGGTGTTGGTTCAGCAGATAATTTTAAGATCATTTATGAATTAGCTGAAAAATTGAAAGCAGCTGTAGGAGCTTCGCGTGCAGCAGTTGACGCAGGATATATTTCAAATGATTTGCAAGTTGGCCAGACGGGCAAAATTGTTGCACCTGTAATTTTAATTTCCTTGTTTATTGAAATGAGCAACATTTGAATTTGAAAAAACTTGTAAGATCATTGATTCTGAATATAAAACAGCATTTTAATCGTTATTTCGGGCACGATTTGAGTTTGAACTTAGTTTTATTCTATTTCCACTTCAGATGTCTAGATAAGACTATACTTAGGCTTAAAATATTGTTGTAAGTCTAAAATTTTTTCGCTCTCATTAAAACTAAAATTTCCGTGATACTTTCATGTTTTTAATAACTTATAGGAGCTATATATAGCAATTGGTATCAGTGGTGCCATTCAGCACACAGCAGGAATGAAAGATAGCAAAGTTATTGTAGCAATTAATAAAGATTCAGATGCACCTATTTTTCAAGCAAGTTCCTTTTATTCTAGTTTATTCTTCCGGAATATAAAATTGAAAAATCATTACCAAAAGTAAAAAATTACAGTGTCATAAAAGTTTCCCATTAATTATTTGTTTCAAGTTTTTCTGAATTTGAATATCATTACGCATTTTTTTCAAGGAAGAAAGCATAAAAGCATAAAAAGGAACGCAGCAAAAAACGTTAACGACATTATAAAGAGACTATGATGAGAAAAAATGTGTAAGAATGAAATGGTCTCTTTATAATTTTTGCTTTTATAAAAAGATTGGTAAAATGGAAGGCTCAAATTTTTCTTGTTTATTAATAAAAACAAAATTTTTTCAGATGGCAGACATTGGGCTGAAAGCTGATCTTCATAAAGCTGTTCCAGAATTAATCAAATTACTGTAATTATTTCCTTGATACCACTTTGACTTGTATGCTAAATTGGCAGATTGTTTCGAAGAGAATGAAAGTAAAATGTGTTTAATAAAGTCTTTATTAAAATTGCTTAAATGTCTCTTTTTTGAAAGGAACTATACTTGTGACAGTGAAAGAGTATGAGAAGGACGCATTTTCTCATTATCAAGAATTGTCTCTTAGGTGTGGACAGTCTATTTGCTTCGATAATGTCGTGAAATAAAATGATCTGGTCAGGGACTCTATGCACATTAATTATCTGATTTTTGACTCTCTTCCTCTTGAATGTTTGAAAGCTATAAACTATTATGCAACAACATTAGATATCGAAGTTAAAGTTTGCAAATTTGGATTGAGGGACATATGAAGCAAAAGATGTGAAATTATAAAGTATGAATTGATCACATCGGTCGGGAGGTGCATAAATGTGATGTGCTCAGGAATTAGCACATCTTGTGGGAATATAGAATTTCATACATGAATGCTGTACGAAAGAAGTTTAAAGGAATTTTGGCGCGAAGAAAAGACAAATTTAGACGGAAAACATGAGTTATTGAAATTTGATTGAGTAAATTTATTTATTTTAAAATAGAGTTCATTAAGGATTTTAATTATTGCAAGTTAGAGAAGATATTCTCGTTTTCTAGGCATTTTACGATAAATTAGATAAAGAAAGTAAAATATATCCGTTGCAGCAATGTCTTCACAAAATACGTCACCTTCACATGAACGACGTCACTCAGGTAGCGAAAGATCAGAAAGCTCTTCAAGCGTATATCACACCGTTTCAGAAGCTTCCAATCATTCATCTCCAGGCAGAGAGCAAAGTAACCAAGAACAACAAATGCAGTCATCGTTGAATAATGGAATTGGCAAGGCTGCTTTTACTTTTTACAGTCTATTTTTAGAATGCATCAGTTTTTTGTGTTCATAGATTTCTGAAAATTCTTTATGATACTAGTTCTTTGTTTGTTACTTCCTTGTCTGCAGTAGAAGAAAGATATAAAAAGTTCTCAATTCCATTTTTTTTTTAATTTTTATATACTATAAATATTTGCTTAATAGCAGAAGAAAATGAAAACATTGGAGATTCGTCACTTGTTTCGGACAACAGCGTAAGGGGTCAATCAGTCCCACAGTCCCAGCGTACTGGTAAGTCATGCCTTTTGTTTCTGTTTTTTATCTCTCTATATCACATAAAATAAATATAGAAAACAGGTCCAACTGACGTGATTCATTAAATAATATGTTACGAAATATTTTTGTTAATAACACGACAAAAAATATTTTATTTAACTAGTAAGTATTTAAAAAATTCTGGAATTAATTGAGAAGTAATAGTACTCATTATATTTGGTTTTGAGAAATTAAGCAATCTGACATTTTTATAAAAGTTGTAGAATCAAGTGCACTTCTTTATGGTTCGGATTTTGACACATCAAGTCAGCTAGGCAGTGCACTTTCATCACAGAGAACGATATCACGGCATGTTCGGGCTGACATTGATTGTACTCCATCTCGCCATCGGACGATCTGTATAGATAACATGGAGGTTTTATTTGAGACATTCTTAGAAAGATATTTTATAAAAATGTTGGACTGCTTTATTTCTCAAAAACAAATGTAATAAGCTCTATTACTTGTCAGTAAATTTCAGAAAAATTTTTATATTACTTACTAGTAAAATAAAATATTTTTTATGGTGTTATTAACAAAATTTTTATTTTTATTACTTTATACAGTGGTTGAACATTTGTTTCATTTGTTTCATTTAGGATGATCTGTCAGCAGGCTTAGAATCTGGTCCAAAACTTTACATCTGGGGGACACGTATTTGTGTTCTTGATGTACAGCGTGCATTTCGTGCATTTGTTAGTGAATTCAGACCATCTAGCGTGTCAGATGATGAAAATATGTTAACTTTTCCTTCCAATATGCAAATGGGTAAATAAATAATCTGCATTCTTTCGTTATTAAATTTGAAGCAATGGGTAACTTGATGTAAATTACTAAGTGAAGCATGAGTAAGGGAACACAGAAGTTTGTTGTGGAAATCACCTTGCAAACGGTTTTAGGTTTTTGTAAAGTGTTTTTGGGTTTAGTATTATACTGAATACTGAAGTATCTGTTGAGAAAAATGGAATTGAATTGTTCTTCAGAAATTGATTTGGATAGACCGTACTACATGGAACGTTTATATGAAATAGATCAAAGTGAAAATATTGCTTTTAATGTCAACCTACAACACGTCAAAACATACAATGAAGCATTGTACCGAAAGATCGTTTGTTATCCATCTGTAAGTATAGTTAGCTGTTTTATTTTGTGAAATAGTTTTATGAAGTACTTATTGATATTTTCACTATTTAATTAATTGAAGTTTTAAGCTTTCATGATATATTGTTTTCGTGAAGAAATTATTAATTTCTAGGACATAATTCCTTATCTTGATCTAACAATAAATGAGATGTTTGCCGAAAAGTATCAAAAGGTATTATATGCTCCAATAGAAGTGCGGCCGTTTAATGCACAAAAAACCCGTAATATGCGTGCGCTCAATCCCCAAGATATTGATCAGCTTATCACAATCAGTGGTATGGTAGTACGTACTTCACCACTGATTCCAGAGATGAGACAAGCTTATTTCGTGTGTTCGGTCTGCAATTTTCCGGTAATGTATTTTTTTTTCAGTTTCATAGAAATGAAATTAACTGCATGCATTTTGTTATCAGAAAAACAGGTCAACATATAGTTTGATTTATGTTTTTCCACAATCACACTCATTAAACTTCAGATCAAAGTGTACTGCTGTCATTATATTGCGTTCTTTTTTGGAGTATGAGTTTTTTTTTCAGTTTGATGTTGAAGTTGACCGAGGTCGAATAGAAGAACCAACTGTGTGTCAGAACTGTCAATCCAAATATTCCTTTCGAATTGTACACAATCGTTCTCTATTTATGGATAAACAAATAATAAAATTACAGGAATCTCCTGGTTAGTCAAATAATTAAATATGCAGTTTTTCATTAAGCCAGTTACAGAAACTCCTGAAACATAAATTTGACTGTTGATCACTAAATATGTAGCATAGTTTATCACTAAAAATGTAGCGCATATCTATTAACCAACTCTTGAACCTTTTTCGAGAGTATCCGTATAGAAATTACTGATCTTAGTTTCTCTATAATTCAGAAGTTGGGAGTTTTATGATTTGCTGAGATGACTTGATTGAATTTTCATTTTTGCTGAATTACTTTTCGTTTGATCGAATCATGAGCTTATTTTCAGATGACATGCCTGCTGGACAGACACCTCATACAGTAACTTTGCTTGCTCATGGTGATATGGTAGAACGTGTTCAACCTGGTGACCGCGTAGCCGTAACAGGAATATATCGTGCGACACCGAAACGTTTAAATCCACGTATGCGAAACGTACTGTCTGTTTATCGAACTAGTATCGATGTATTGCATTTTCGGAAGACAGATCAAAGTCGACTACATCAAGTAGATGATGGGTTGGTAAATCAATGTTGAATTTTAACATATTCAAATATAAACTAGATTTTGTCGATAATTGAGCTTTCTCATCTATAATTGATGTTTATCGCAAAGATTCTTACTATCTGCCTAATAGATAATTTGTATAACCAAGACAACAATTCTTTACAGCACACATTTAACAGATGAAAGAATTTCTATGATTAAAAATTTAGCAAAACGAGCCGATATCATTGATCGTTTGGGAAATGCTGTTGGTAAGGATAATTATTTTTTTGCGAATCTGATTAAAACTGTATCTTGATATTATATTCCCCTAAAAATATTTATTTGTGATATTCACGTTTTGTTAGAAGTATTTATATCTGAAGGATTTATTATATATGCAAAAAATTTGAAAAAATCTTGGATGTTATTGTATATATTCTTCGTTTATCAGTGCATTTTACACAAAAATATAGAATCCAGTGTCTTAACATATTGTCAAATTGTTTAATTTAGTAATAGGCGTGAAGTTAGGTTATCTAGTTAGTCTAGCTTTCAGCTCCTTCCATCTATGGCCACAAAGACATTAAACGTGGTATTCTGTGTTTATTATTTGGCGGTACTAATAAAGAGGATAAAACGGGCAACAAAATAAAGCTGCGAAGTGAAATAAATATATTATTATGTGGAGATCCTGGCACCAGTAAAAGTCAGCTGTTACAAGTTAGTTTGGTTATAACATTGTTTTAAATTAAAAATTTAGAAACTACACCTTTTTACATTTTAACAGTGTTTTCACTATCATTGAGATAATAAATGTTGAAAATGCTTTTTTTTTCACCGGATATTTCATGTTTATCAAGTAAAATATAGGGTACATTTGCTGAACCTTTTTTTATAGAATGTGTTTTAATAAAGGTGAATGCCAAAAATTGGAGTTTGATGGGTAGCGGAAAAGTATGAATGGGAACAAGGCAAGTATGTTTGTGCACAAAACAGAACAGAAAATTTTGAAAATGAAAAATTTTAGTATGTCTATCGACTTGTGCCGCGTGCGCAGTATACATCGGGAAAAGGGTCATCTGCAGTAGGATTGACTGCTTCTATTGCTCGCGATCCTGATACTCGGCATATTGTTTTACAAACTGGTATCAGAATTTATTAAAGCCCATGTAAAAAGTAGAAAAAAATCCTAGCTCTGTTGTTTTAGGTGCACTTGTATTGGCCGATAATGGAGTTTGCTGTATTGACGAGTTTGATAAAATGAATGACAGCACTCGTTCAGTTCTGCATGAGGTGACAGTGCATTTTATTTGCAACCAATTCTTTCTTGGAAAACTGTAGAATTGTAATTTTTTAATCAACCGTAAAAGCTTTTCTTTTATTTTCGGAAGTTGCAGGTGATGGAACAGCAGACTCTTTCTATAGCAAAAGCTGGAATCATTTGCCAACTGAATGCTCGGACATCGATTCTAGCGGCAGCGAATCCGGTGGATTCAAAATGGAATCGAAGTAAAACTATTGTAGACAACATTCAGTTGCCCCATACTTTGTTGTCGAGGTAGCTTTATTCTCATTTTTTTATAATCAATTTTCAAAACTAAGTAGTATCTCTTATGATGTGGTTTTCAGATTTGATTTGATTTTTCTGTTGGTTGATGCTCAAAATGAACTCTATGATAGACATCTCGCAACTCATTTGGTTTCATTGTATTACAAAAGCAGTGAAAATGAAGGCAAGTTTATTTTTATTATAATTGTTTTAATCGTTTAAAAATGATTCCATTTATATGAGAGTTTATGTTTACGTAAAGCGAGTTGAGACGAACTAATATTAGTTTCGCAAAGCCGAGATAAATGAAAATTTTCAGATATAAATTTAGGAAGGCTCATTTTCATAACTATATTAAGATAGTCTTTGAAAAGCTTTGGGGTAAGAAACGTTCTGTGGAAACACAAAACTTCACTGAATGTTTGGGATATATTGCGATACTTTATATTTTAAATCGGAATTCATCCTATTGAAATTTATTTAAAACGAAAAGTATAAGAAAGGAGAAAAATTTTTTCATCTTTCAAACGATACAATTCATTACAGAATCCGAATCACTTGATTTGGCTCTTTTACGGGATTACATTGGTTATGCCAGATCTTACGTTAATCCAGTGTTGGATGAAGCATCTTCTCGATGCCTTATTGATAAATATCTTCAAATGCGAAAAGCTGGCTCTGGTTTCGGACAGGTAAGCATGTGAACGAAATTGAAAAAAAGACTTTGTCAGTCTGAAATCCTTTTTAAGTTCAAAACTCTGATATATTTTGTAAAAGCAATTAAAAAGTTGGAATAAATTAAGATTACTGCTTATCCTCGACAACTGGAGTCGTTAATTCGTTTGGCTGAGGCTCATGCGAAAATTAGGCTTAGTAATGCAGTATCAGTGCAAGATGTAGAGGATGCATATAGGTTGGTTATGCTTTTTTGCTGACTTCACATTTCACTGATGTTATTTTTTGCTGATTTTACATTTCACTGTGCTTATTTGTCTCTGCATCAAAATAGTTTTGATCATATGTATTTATTGATAAGTTTTTTGTGATAGAAATTTTGGTGAAATTAGTTGTACAAGTTCAAAATTGTATCTAGAATACCCTTTTTATTTTCTAGTTTGCACTGTGAAGCTTTGAAGCAGTCTGCTGTCGATCCATCTACAGGTCGAGTAGACATCAATATTTTGTCTGGAGGAATTAGTGCCACAAACAGACAAATTATTGAACATTTATCTGAGGCGATAAGCCAGGAACTTTCACAGCGTCGTGGAATTTCCGTTCCATTAAAGAAGCTGATGCAACAGTTACGTCAAAACGACTTGGTTCGTAAGAAAAAAACGAATTTTTTCGATGTCTTTTTATTTATTAGTATGCAAGTTGAAATTTTCAGTCATTTTCTCGAGAATTGTTCGATGAAGCTATCAGTCATCTTGTAAAGAACGAAATTTTGGTGCGAATTGGTGATAAAATACGATATGTTGCGACTACTTAATTCCTTACTCTGAACAGCCTGAAAAGATTGACTAACGGTTTAGAAAAAGGAAATTTTGGGCGAAAGAAAATTGTTGTTGAATTTCTGGCATATATTATAAATTATTATATTAACTGCAATTTACAAGATGAGATCTGAATATTGTGAAGAGATTATAATTTACTCTTGAAATTTTGGTCAATGTACGGCAAAGTATGATTTTAATGTTCAAGACATCTGTATTATTCCTTTGGCTGTAGGAAAATAATTAGTTTTAAGTTTAAAATGTTACGAGGTGGATTATGGCACTGTTGTGTTTCTATATTGTCATCTCTAATTCAGAATAAATTTTCATTAAGATAATCTATATGCAGTGCTGGAAAAAATAAGATTCAGAAAAAAATAAGGAAAATATTGCCTGCCTAAATAATGGCAGAAAGATGATTATTATCAAATTCTTTTCCGTCTTAATATTTGTGTTGGATCATGAAAAGCACAAATATTGCAGAAAGAAAGTCGTGTGGGAGATGTTACGATTGTATTAGGTAAAAATTTCTCCGTTTGCAGTCTACATCCTATATGATGATCAATATTGCTGCTCCTGAAGTTTTCTTTGTTACCATTCTTTTTTATATTCTCTAGAATCAGAAGCCTATTATAAGTTCAGTTGCTTGCTTTTTTAAATTACACTTGTAGAATTGGCGCAAACTTCGAGTTTGATCTCAAATTTGTTTAAAGATAGAATATTCTTTAATTACTGACTCTCTTCGGAGTATAAAAATCTTGAAGATCAACTGAACTTTATTGCGGGTATGGTATCGAAAGTTCGTAAGTAACTAATTTTTGTAATAAACTTTAGTTTAATATGATTTATGGAATAAACTTTAAGTGGGTTATTCCAAACAAATGAAATTACATAAGATTTAGTTTTCGAGATTTTCAGCTTTAATTAAATTCTATCTTTTATGAAAAAGCCGATGAGATAAAATAAAGTGTACAGTCTTAAAGAGAAAAATTGTACATTCATTGTAATCAAACTTATGGAGGAATAAGGGTAATTTAATCATATGATGTAAAATAAATTTTCAGATGTTTTCGACGTTAAATAAAGTTGATGACGGCATAAATGAATACGTTGAAAGTTATAATGTACAGAAAGCTTTACTGAATAAGCAAAATGAATTTTTAATGAAGAGCTATTCAGAAGTGCGTTCATGAATATTTTTTCGTTTCAAAAGAAATGCTAATCATAGCTAGATTGCTTTTGAATTCAATTTACAGTATATAAATTGCTTTCAAATTCAATTTATAATAATACGCTGCTTTCCATCACATTCCAAATATTACACTTAATGCTATGATTATATTCTTGTGCAAATCCTTATTCGTTTTTTGATGTTCATATACACTGATAAATAATAGCAGTAATTTTTGTTGAGTTCAGTATCAGTTCTGTTCGATAATTATTTTTAATTGTATTCAAGTTTATATCTATGATTAATTAGTTCAAAGATTGGTCAAGTTGATAAAAAGCTGATAATGTATGGGCATGTTTTTTGGTAATCCATTATGCATAGGTATATTTCACTTTTAAAAAATACTTGAAAGTATTGATAATTTCAGAGAAATGAAATTATTTGGAAGTTCTAATTTGAGGAAAATTTCGTATAGATTGTTAATTTTAATATGGTTGCTAACTGTTGTGAAGTCTGATGAAGAGCATGTGGAGCACGGTTTCAGTAAAGAATTTATAAAGGAACATGATGGATATGTTGTGAGTAACGAATATCTGGATCAAGAATCTGTTAAAGGTTTGCTTGATCACATTGTAAATTCAGTTCATTATTGCAGCAAATAAATGCATCACTTTAACGGCATTTAATTTTTAATATACAGATTGTGTTTAAATCTTCATTATTCATGTTAGCTTCATTCATTTCATTCTTGTGCTAGTATTTAATTGCTAGTTATGAGTATTTAAAATTAATTTTTTGTTGTTTTGTAATACCTATCTTCCTACTTCTCTCTATTATAAGATCTACAGTTTTTTGTTTGGGAAATTCAGTGAGTTGCATGGTTTATTTTCAGCATCTATCTTCTCCATAATTTTGTGATAGACAAATGATAAGTTTAGTTCACTGTATTATTTTAGATGGTGAAAGACAAATTGAACGACTAGATGATTTAAGTCCAGAAGAAGCCAAGATCCGGATGGCAATTCTAGCTAGGAAAATGGATTTAAACAATGATGGATATGTGACCAAAGACGAGCTGCAGAGTGTGGTTAAACAGTAAGAGTTGTGTCGTCTTTATTTTTTTTTCAGGAATTTATGTGAGCTTTTTCTTACGAATTTTGAGTAAAAGATGAATGTTGCAACTATAACTCTGTTTACTTCATTCTATGTCAGCTTTTTAAATGAATCGAATGAAGCTTTGGTCATAACATATTTTGGAAAAAAAATTAATGTATGTGTAACTCGTTCAAGTAATGTAATTGCTATGGATTTGGAAGAATCAAATAATCGATTTCGTGACATTGATACAAATCAAGATAATATAGTGACATGGGATGAGTATGTGAAGGAGACGTTTGGTGATATTAAGCTACAGGATGAAGTTGGTCATTCTTTTACTTTTCATGCTTTAGTATTCGCAGGAAGACAAGAGCGATCTGGAAAAGTCTAATACTTATTTCGACCGACTTTTGTTTCTATTAAAACCAAACTTTTACTTGCGAACATTGATTATTTTAAGTTTGTTGGACTTCTAGAACATTGATGCTGATGATAAACGTTTAATGGAAGATGACAGGAAACTTTTTCGCGCAGCAGATGACGATGGCGATGGAAGCTTAACAATTGAAGAGTTTCAGGCTTTTCAGAATCCTGAATCTTTTCCTCAAATGCACTTCGCTTTCATGGAGGTAGTAACAATGAACAATTTGGGTTTGGATGGATTTAGGTGTTTGTTATCACACTGTAGTTGCTGTCATTTTCTTTTCGCGACGACAGAAATGTAATGTTAAGTTTTAAGGTCACGATAGCGGAAAAAGATGCAAATATGGATGGGAAGATTTCTCTAGAAGAGTTTCTGGATGACGCAGCAAAAAGCAAAGATTCAGAATGGCGTAAAGTAGAAAAGGAACGTTTTGCCCGCCATTTTGACCGAGATCATGATGGTTTCCTAGTGGGTACGGAAATTCTCGATTGGCTTCAAATAAATTTAGATTCCAATGCAGCTGAGGTTTGTCGCATAATTCCGTCAACATTTACTCACGCTTGAGATCATATATGTGTTGGAAAGTAGTTAATGATTCAGAATAATTAGTTATAAATACCGCATAGAAATCTTAAAGTTTCCAAATGAATAAATCGTCAGTCACATTTTTTATTGTACACTGATGCTCATTTAGGAAGCAGAGCATTTAGTTTCGCGAGCAGATAAAGATCTTGATGGTAGATTGTCCATTGAAGAAATTGTCGGCGAAACAGACTTATTCGTCCGTTCTGACGCTACAAATAATGGAGAAAGTTTGATGGACATTCATCATGATGAACTTTGACAGTAACTCAGATTTTAGTAAATGAACTACCAGTTAGCGTTGATTTCTGAATTTTATGTTATTTTTTTATTTGAAACAAACTTATTTAGAGCATTGTTTCTGTCATTAATCTAACCCCCACTTCCACGCATAAGTCTTAACTAGAGTTTTATTCATAAGGAAATGGAATTTTTTGTCGTCTGCATCTTAATGACAAGTCCCATCTACAGATTGAGACTATTGACATCTTGCGTATTAATCATTAACATTACAAACGCTACTATCTCTTTAAATCGTCCCGTTATTCTCGAAGCGATGATTAACCCAACAAATCTAGTATAAATCCGCTTTAGCTGTCATTCCATATGCGTCTGCAGTATCGCTTAGTTACTGATCAGTCTTGAGGGCGCTTATCTCACATTTAGTCTTTTTTCACATCCGTTAATCGTTATGAAATCTCAATTTTTATGCTCTAGACTGACTTAGTAGAGCTCATTCAAAACTACTTTTATCATGTATATCTTCTTTTAAGACATGTTTATCACTATAGTTTAAACGGTCAGAAGCAAATATGTGTATTGCATTCTGATTTTAGTGTTTAATTTGCTGTATTTATATATTTATTTTGATGGCTATTCAGTGCGATGTAATCATAAGTACCACGTGCAAACATTTCATAATTGATCCAGATAATGATTCCCGAATATGTTCAATTTCGAAGCTTGGGCCATAACTGTGACTATTTACTCAGTCACACTTTATGCAGTGAGAATTACAACAGCAGAAAAAAGAGTAACAAGGAGTACAAAAAGGTTTGAAAATTTTCAAACTTGGCAAGCTTCCTTTTGTTCAGTTGAGTAAGTGCTGCAAAAATGAAAGGCTAGTCTACAGAAAATATCCCTAAAAGTATATGTCACGGGTTTTTAATGTATGCAGTGCGGTTCCGCATCACCTGTTCAATAAAAGTGTAAAACAAGAGAAAACAAACTTATAGCAATGGTGAGGGGCAAGTGTACACAACAGGAATATTAGATTTAGACTACACTCGGTACTAAAGAGATTTGTAAAATTGTAAAGTGACGCGATAAGAGTCAAGAGGACTGTAACATAGGACAAGATCGTCAAAATACAATAGAACTAATCCATATAAGAATTCAGAAAATTAAGTGAAAATAAGTACCTACAATCTGCTACTCTACGATTAATAAGAGCTTATCTAGCCAAGTGGATAAAATTTAATTACATTACAGCTTAACTTTAATGCTACATTGTCACATATGAATAAGCTGTAGATAAAATTTAGCATTCACTAATTCAGCATAAAAGTAGCAAAGCAACTAAATTTTAAAAAAAAACAAAAAAAAAGCACTAATTATGAGATAATAAATACTCAAAAAAACAAGCTTCATTGATGTTATTCCATAATTAGTTCTACGTCCAACATTTATTTAAACATGAAGATTGTCAAAACTTAAAATTTTAACCTGAATACCCTCGTGTTCCCAGTAATTTTATTCCTTGAATCATGACTAAAAGAATTCTTATCAGTCAACACCAGCAAAGATCTCCGAGTTTTCGATAGCTGTTGTCAACCGTTCTTTCATTTCATGGAAACTCGTGTACGGCGGCAAATCAATGCGATTGAAACTGCACAAAAAACGCAGGTTAAATAAATCAAAAACAAATTTCTATGCGAGCAAAAAATATGTACGAATTAGCAAACGGTAATGAAGCAAATAAAAACTTTGGAATACTTTTTACATCTTAATATCAAGATGAGAGGCAGCATACCAAGTATGTGCTCGTGGAAGCATGTCTACACTACCCCACCGTTCAATTGTAAACTTATGAGGTCCATTTGATCCATATAATTCCCGGAAGCCATTCATTGGGACGCGTGAGGTACCTGTGACAAATTGAAGCAGTCGCGCACGCATTTCATTATCAAATGCCAGCAAACATTTCCAAAAGTTCTGAATTACCTAAAATGAAAATAGGTAAACTATAGGTCGAATATATATTAAGTGAAAAATAAACACAAGTGTTATGCAGTTCATTGAGAAGTTCAAAGCCTGGTGCATGAACTAGGACGCAATGCACTATAACTGCGCACTTGGTAAATATGCGACAAAATGCAACTGCTTCAAATTATAACTTCATGATAATGATAGATTGCATTATAAAACATTACAAAACTCACCGGATGACATGGCGAGTAACCATTTTTGTATAAAGTATTGTCTTTCCAATCCTTAACATCGATTTTTTGCAAGCCACATACGAGTAACTCAAGTTCATTTGGGTCAAAAATTGATAACAAATTCGGCGGTATCATCTCATGAACACCTTTCATCAGTGCTTTCATTTGGTATTCAACACGACTAACAAAACGCCACTTAATTATCAGAGCAATATATTCGTCCTTATTAGCTTCAGTTACTCTTATTTCTGCTCCACCTTCTCTAAGTTCAACAGTATTGACCTGAAATTTTCGATATGCTTAACTTTTTTCAGATCAGAATAATAAAAAAAGAATTTTAAAATCTCTAAACAGACATCAAGGAATGATTGTCATTCAAAGCCAGATCGAAGACAAAAGCTGTCAAAATCCAACTCATCTTTAAAGATGAAACAAACTGTAATTTACCTGTCCAAAAACGTCTTCATCTACTGCAAAATATAAGCCAAGATCTTCAGGATCATTCTCTTTGATATAAACTAATGAATTGAAATACGCGCTGTCTACAGACTGCATATCATTTAAAGTGATTGGTTTACCCAACATCATTTTATAAAATGGCCGAATAAAAAATGCTGCAAAAGTTTTAAAAGCAATAAATTAGAAAGAGTAAAAATTAATTAATAGCTCTAAGTTCTTGATGCAGACAAATTCACCATCTAAAAGTTTCCCGTGATAAATAGCAATGCCAATAATTCGACCAATAAAATGAAAATAAGAAAGGTGTTCCGGATTACATGTTTCTGAATGCGGGTTTATTTGCAGTGTATAATTATCACTGAAAATTATTTAATCCATACAATAAAATATGAAGCTTTTTGTGAATTGATATTTTACGGAAACTTTTCGGAAGCAGCACAAAAAGTTCGACTAATCCAGAATGAAAATGCCCATTTCATACCAAATCATTGAAATTTGATCCAAAAACTGCATAAATCTCACACTCAAGCACTTATTCAAGTCACTTGCGGTTCTACCATCTGAATTCGAAGTTTGCAAAATTTATTTAAGCTTTGAAAAAGAAACACTTCTACGATAAAAAAAATTGTTAATTCACTATATATTTACGTTGCTGAATATTCGAACAACCCATAATAAGGGCTAAAAATGTCATGAGAAAGTAGATAAAACCACTCGCGAGCAACACCACCATAATCCAAGCCTCTTTCACTCTCAAAATCAACCCAAAGTTTGGAACGCAACTGAGCAGGTAAGAACTTCATTACTTGTCTGCAATAATTATTGTTTGACAGTTTCTTAAACTGAATATGTTTACAACAAAATTATGTATAGAGAATCATTGATATTTTATGCTAGTAAGCTTTTTGGATTTTTCCTAGATGTTTCCAAGCAATCCGCAGATAAACATCAAACTTCAAGATTTTTGAACAAAAAAGGATGAATATTTTGATAAATACTTCAACTGCATATGTCCTCAGATCAAAAAAAAAAGATATTTTTTTATTATGCTGTCTTAATTTAAAAAGAACCTAAAAGAATCTTCGAATAATCGATGTCGTCGAACAGTGATTTCACACTTTGTGCTAACAGATGCTTTAGGAAGATTTGATCTCAGATACTCATATTTACATTTATAATCACGCGAATACGGGACAGCTGGACCAGCGAAATTTGTATTCTCAAATCTTGGATCCTCCCATTGCGTTCGTCGAGTATTGTGATCAATATAAAATACTCGACCATCAGTGTGAACTCGCTGCTCCCAACCAGCAGGCAAATCACCGAGTTCGTCTCTTACAATTTCTGCAAGTGACACACCAATTCATTTGCCTTTACTAGTGTTTGAAGCCAGAACATTCATCATTTTTTCATTTTTTTCCACAAAAATATCAAAAATAATAATACTTCACTTTCTCTCACCTTTTACAATGGAAGTAGCAGGTGCATCTCCATCTCTTGGATCAGTCCAAGTTGTTGTTTTATGAATATGATCGATGAAAAATATTCGTCCATTTGGTGCAACCTGCATATCCCAACCTTGCGGTAATGGCCCTTTACCATCATTTGGATCAACACAATCACCAGACTCAAAATTTACTCGTAACCTCGCTTCCAACTAAATAAACTTATATAATGGAAATAACATCCATGCACTCTTAATAAAACAAGAAGAAACCACAAAGTAATAGCACAATCAATCATTAGCACCATTTAAATTTCAAATTAAATCATTTTTAGTATTCCTGAGTTTCGAAATTTAATATTAATAAATTTTTGTAGAGAACTGTTTTCAAAAAAATATTACATAAGAGGAATCAGATCCCGTCTACATCAAGTTAAATTTACTAACACTAGCGATACTGTCCTGAACATGTTCTTCGCTAGAACCTTGCCAACGACTTTCATAGTTTCTACGCATAGCGTCATCATGCTCTGATGATTCATCTACATTGCTTCTAAAACCTATTTTACTAACTATAGATTCATCAAAACAAGAAAATATACGAAATTTTTCGATCAAAAATTAAATGTCATCTTTAATATAAATGTCTCAAAAACTTGATAAAATTCACCTTATAGGGCGCATCCATTGTGTTGTTCTCGATATATGATTAACGTAAAATATTCGACCATTAGCATCTTGTCGCTCTTCCCAACCTTGAAGATTTTTTTTCTTGACAATTCTTTTTGCTATTTCAGTTATTAGTTCTAAAAATTTAAACTGAAACATCAGACTTTGTAGCAAGATGAAAATCCTTAACCATCATTAAATATACCTTCAGGAAGAGAATAAGTTGAATTATGATGATTGGTGAGACACTCCCAAAAACCAACGTAATCATTAGAGCTCTTCATAGGATTGATGATGTATGAAAGTGAAAGCCATATACAACCTTGAACTGAAGCGTTGGGGCGATGAGAATGGGGATTCAAAATATATGACGCTTCTGATACTGAAATTCCAACCTGCTCATAAGGGATGTGCACTTGATGTAAATTAATGTCTACCATTCCAAGGAAATTGTCACGTGTCTGGAAGATAATTCATTAAGTTAGAATGTCCGAAATTCAAAATATTTCAACATAGTGAGATTAAAAATAAGGAAATGACATTCGAATAGCAATAACTGAATAATTTTAATTGCAGCATAACACTGAAATAAAATTTCCCTTGAAAAAGAATGTGAAAGTAATAATATCTTAATTGCTCTAAAACCTAAATATGTTTTAGATTTTACCAACCTAAAACATTTTTAGCTCAGCTGTAAAATTGTAATTTAAAAAAAGAGATTGCAATCTACATTTAGCTTTATCAACAGTGCCTCACTTATTGCTTTACATGATTTAAGTTTTATAAGTTAGGATTAATGACGTAGAAAATTTATTTAACGCAAAAACAGCATTAATAACTAAGAGCTGGTAAACAACAGGCAAAAAAGTGACAGATAATGATATGATCGGATAATTTCTTGAACAACTGCATTACAACAGTGACAAATAAAACTAACGATGCGTTTTTCATCAAAGACTTGGATAACCAAGTTACAATCTTTACGAACCACTCGAAAAATAAATTCTTCATTCCACACTGGAGCACAGGTCTAAATTTTAATGAAACTTCCTTGATTCCATAAAAATTTGCAGTAAAAATATCAAGTCCATAAAATTATTACCTTCCTTTCTTCAATTACTCTGAAATTACTTGAGCGAAAAATGTTGATGCTATAAAAGCAGAAACAATCTTTTAATCTCTTAAAATCAAGAAATAAGAAGAAAAATATGCTCCATTACCTGCTCCACTACTTTTTTCCCTGTATTTCTTGTTTCCACCAGAGAATTTTAAATAAAAAATTTGTATTTCATAGTCTTAAGCTTTGCGATTTTTGTTTTCGTTCAAGATAGCGGAAAAAACTACAAAATTTCTGCATAAATTAATATACTTTGCGTCGTGTTTTAGTATGCACTTTTTCAATAACGACGTTTCCATTACGCTTCAACGAAACCACAGCATATGGATCACAAATACCAAACATATCCCTTTTTAATAAACGTTCTGCTTTCACAACTCTGACCCGCAGAAGTTCGGTGTTCTAAAAATACTTAATCAATAATCTCATTACATTACTGAAACTTAGAATTATTAAATACATAATACAGAATTCTTTGTCAATCAATTCATGAATCAATGAAGAATGTAAAGAAATATTTAAAACAAATCAAATTATCCAAAATGATGGCGAGTAAAACAATTAATGAAAATAAAACTAAATGCTTTTGAAAATTTCAGCTTCTCTGAAGAATATAAAATGGTAAGAAAATGCATTTTCATACTAACTGCAACAAATATTAAAATCATCACCTCTTCCGTTTCAGCTAAACCATGAATTCGAGTGTTTGTGCTTCTGAGTGACATTCACTTATTGTTATAATTATTATTTCTCCTACAGATTGACAAATTCCAATCAATCTAACAACTGCTTTCAAAACCTATGCATTTCATTTGTAATGACGGAAAACTTAAATTCCTCAGTCTTATGACTATTTACTAGCAGTCTAACTTGAAATTTCGAAAGCTCTTAACTTCTTTATTACTTACTGTCTTCAATAAGAACATGAAATAGTTAAGAAAAAATTTACACTTTTCATATTATTCACTTGAATATTCTGAATAGATGAATGAGTGATTCACAAGAAATTATTATTTAAAAATAACTCGTATTGGTATTTGCCAGGGAAACAGGGAAACGTTTGTAAATTCAAAGCATTAATACATTTACAAATGAATCTTAGGCGCTAAACAAATACAAGACTGCATTTTCATAACAGGCATATCAACCATCGTGTGCAACTTATGTGAAATAGTTCGGATAAATATTTACTTTGAAGGTTTGTGAGTATAGTAAAATACTAAAATGGTCTTATGTATGCATTTATTTTTTATTTTATTTACATAAATATTAGTTTAAGATTTTTTTTCCTGTTTCCAAGTATATCAGAAAAGCTATCGTAATTTACTTAAAACACTCTGCAAGTAATGTGTAGACTGAGTACACAAACAGGAATTATATACGTCGAGTTGTTTCAAATATTAATTCTCGAAATCATATCAATAATTTGTGTGTTTGTATGTTACAGGAGAATATACAGTCCGGAACTAAAGTTATAGACTGATTATTTCAGCTAAATAACATTCCATGTTATGTTGGTTGATAACAGTTGATGCGATAGATACAGTATTCTTCAGGACCTGATATTACATCATTGATTCTCTAAAGCAAAGCAAATACTTAAGTAAGTAAGAGTGAAAGTTTTAAAGGAGTCTGTGCTCATAAAAATGTTGCATCTTTAATGTACAAAATCTAGGAGTTATGCCAATAATGCTTGCAGTAAAAGTCAAGATGCTGAAAATTGTAGAAGGATAGTATATTTCAGGAGCCTTTATGATCTTTCCATTACTTTCTGATTTAATAACTTTTATTGGATTTTATTTTATTGCTGCATACTGTATTGTTGTGGAATTCTATATGGATCGAATTCGTCGTTATAATGGACTCTCGAGGCTACAATATTTACATAAAGCTATATTTGAGAGTAAATTTTTCAATGCTTCAAATCAAAAATTGATTGCTGTAGTTACTGGTGCAGATGGCACGATCGGCACTGAAGTAACTCGATTACTGCTACAGAATAATTTCAAAGTACTTCCTAAAATTAATTTTATTTTTGTATAGCCAGCTAAATATGTTCGAATCATATTATGTATATTTACTACAAACCGTAAATGTACTTTTCTGGTTGCTTCTAGTTATTTCTGATTTGCATGATAAAGTTTTTGATATATCAGTAATCAAAAAGGATATATCAGCAATCATCAACGAATAGATTTCCCTTATAGGTGATATGTTTGATTCGAAATCGCAAAAGTTGCAATTGGTCAAATGAATTTGGAAATCAAGCGGACCTCGTAATACATACTGTAGATTTAGCGAATCTGCAGGAAGTTAAGCAAATAGCGAAAATAGTTGCGGAGCAAAACCCTCAGATCGATTTTATCGTATGCGCTGCTGGCGTTATGTTGTTCCCCTTCGAGAGAACTGAAAGTGGATTCGAGACTCACTATGCAGTGAATTTCTTATCTCATGCTATTATTGTGAATTATTTGCTGCCATCCGTTGCTGGAAAGGAAGGAGATAGACATTGTAATGAAGAGGGCAAGATTATTTTTGTTTCTTCTGCTGCTGCCTATTTATATCTCTTGTACCCAGTGTTTTGTGATCCAAAAATGCTTTTCAACTATCGAAATGGCTATCAAGCTTACTGGACATCAAAATTTGCAATGTCTTCATATGCTGATGAATTAAATTACCAAATGCAGCAGCAGTCAATAATGTCAAACCAACGGAAAGTAACTGTTATTTCTCTGCATCCAGGTTGTGTTGCAAGTAATTTGTATCAGTATGCAAACATTTGGACAAAAATTTTAATTTTCCGGTTATTATGGCGTATAATGAGAAATCCAGCTATAGCAGCGGCTGAAATTTTAGCTCTTGGATTTGATGATAATTTAATAGGTGGTTGCTACTATCAACATATGGTACCGACCAGAATCTCTTCTTGTACAGAAAAACAACAATTGTATAAGTATGTACAGGAAGTAATAAAGAATCTGTGAAAAATTTGCTTTTCCAAAGCATTATAGTTTTAAATCCAAAGCTCGAACAATTAGGTCTGCAAAGAGATTTGTTGTAAATTTCATTTCAGAGAATGAGCTCAACTTTCAGTAATCAGGTCTAATATTTTGCATCTTGTGCATTGAACAAAATGCAAAACACTTGATTCAGTTTTGTTCTAGGAACCATGCCTAAGCTCTGTTTCAGACAACAATTTGAGATTAGTATCTTGAATATTGAAAGGAATTTTAAGAAATATGGGTCGTCTTTAATTAAGGAAACATGTTGTAAAATTTCTATCAGTACATACGCTATTTGACTGAAGACTGGATAACAAAGCTAGACTTACGTCCTATCAATGAAAGTTATAATCTAGAACGAAGGTAGATGCAAAAGACATGCGAGTCGCTGACATTTCTATAACATGTTCCTAGAAAGAACAAAGAAGAAGAAACTAGAAGAACAAGTGACTATCTGGTTTTACTCGTACAATAAAAGTGACAGACTGGAATTCACAAATCTCTGGAAACAATTTTCTTACGTATAATTCAAGAGTTCGTCCTTCAGCACTCACGTCTGTTTAGTCGCTATCAGAGTCAACTATTAATTTTTGTCTCTTTCTTTTCGAAGTTTTACTTTCATCCTGAAAAGAAGTGGAAGTGCTTGCATCTATATAAAATACAGATAATGAAAACAAAAAAATTATTTAACATCTCTACTCCCCTCTGGTTTTCAACCGAGACCGTCAACTCTAGAATCTAGATGTTATCATCCACTAAAAATCAATCTTAGAAATGAAGTTAGCCTTTTTAAAATACTTTACAGGGGCCTAGCAGTAAATATCGCAAGAAATTAAAGGATCGTTGAAAACTGAATTAAACGTAGGAATTACTTCATGAGGGAAGTGAGTATGGTTTCTGAGCTCATGTATTCTTCAGAAAAAAATAGAATTAATTATAAGCATTTAATAGTGATAACGATTGATTTTTGCATCATATTGACGACTGTGTCAAAGCAACCAAGATAATGTAAGTACCAATGCGACTAAAAATTCTTGGAGTACCTAACATGCATGAACTTTTTTGCTCACGTAAAATCGGTCAAAAGATCAGAAACCAAATTCAGTTAAACATACATCGCTCACATCGTTCATCTTTTTCAGTGGTTTAGTTCTTCGTAAAGAACGAGCTCCTTGAGCGCTATCGTCACTTAATATTTCCATTACAGCAAAAAGTTCATTGTAGCGTATTCGAAGGGCGGATATCTAACAGAATTAGAACATATTTTTCAAGTTTTAGAAGCAAACTTATTCAATATAAAATGATGCATCATTAAAAACATGAAATGGATTTTATTTTCGAAAAAGTTGTATTCATGAATTTCGTGTAATTCCAAAATTTATTTCCTATTTTAATTTTAATTTTCCTAAATAAAATGCAAGGAAAACTGAAGAAGTTTTAATATTGTGATTTAGCAAATCACAACTATCAAAATTATGAAATTAAATGCAGACTTTTTCAGTTGCTCTTGCTGTCGTAAATGCTTCTTGCAAGGAAGGGCGAGCTAGAAAGGCTTCAGCAACATGGCTATCTTTGGATAAGCAACTTTGACGAAACCTGTCAAGATGCAAAAACAGTTGATCTAAGCAAACATATCTGAAATTGTACAAATTAAAGCGAACTAAAATTCCACTTACATTCGGTATGAATAAGTCCTTTACAATGAAGACGGAATAAAAAGCAGTTTTTCAATTCTAATAGAGGTTGGAAATACTTTAAATTTAGTCTGAACTTCATTCGGAGAATCTCATCTTTGAGTTTTCTAGTGACTGCAAAAACAGAAAAATAACAAACTACCTTTGGGCTGGACGTTTTCCCTTTGAATGAACAGGAAGAAGATCACCAGACTGAATCAATTTATCGATGAGACTGGACAGCAATTCTGCTACACGACTTGCATAATCTGGATCTCTAACCAATAACTTCAGACAATTGACGGTAAACATATCCGATGATGGTCGAGATAAAAGATTTCGTATTAAGCCCATATTAGGCTCACGATCCATTCTAAAAGTTCCGAAACTGCATAGCAGAAACTTTGTTTACAATTACAGATATATAACTAAATTTATTTATAGATGAGATAGCAATTCTGCTATAAGGCTTACATAAGTAAAAGCATTGAAAGCTGCTAATTTGCAATTACAGTAAATTACATTTCTTCATATTCAAGAAACACCTCCGCTTTATCTTCTGAAATATGAAGATAATTAACTATATTTAGATGAGATGACATAGCAATTCTGTATCAGACCTTTGAAGCATGATATAAATTTGTGAAATAGCTTCAGAATGTTTCGGATACTGCAGTTTAGGAATAATTTGCAAGACCCAATCCACAGGAATGCCTTCAGCATGCACCAATTGCCAAAAGATAAACTGAGCTGTAGTTTCCCAAGACAGCGAAGCACTTACTATAGGAAGGAAAGAATCTTTCCTGAAAACTTAAAATTAAAAAAAGCATGAAAAGTTTGTACAAAAAAAGAAATGGGAAGTTTTAGCTTTTTATCCTCTGGAATTTTTTTAATCACCTGAAAAATGAAATATTTTCTCGAATCATTTCACCAATAAGATCAGCGATTTGACGTGCATCTAATGAGTGAGCTAGCAGTTTCATCAGATCAATGCTACCCATTGCTTCGACAGCAAATTTTTCATATACATATGGAATTAGATGAGCAAACAAGACGTAATCATCAATATGACAAAGCTTAAAACAAATTAAATCCTTCTCTTTGAAAATACCAGAATTCTTTCATTTATTTTGAAAGTTTTTGAGTAAACCATAATGATCTATTTATTTACAATAAAAATAAATCCTCATATATCACGGAAATTAAACCCATTTAAATATCTTTAAAGTAAGTAATAGTGACTATAGAAGAATTCAAATCAGTTCTATACACTACCTGATCATTTTAAAACAAAAATTTACAAAAATTCTCCACAAAACCTGTAAGTCTGAAACAATTTGTTGAATTAGTGAATTATCCATGAGTCGACAAAGATCTACATAAGCTGCAGCTGCAGTATCATTCTGATCTCGGCGATTTGAGGAAGTAAAGAATAATAATAAATACGATACAGACGAACACCTAAAATACGACAGACTTATCTGTTAATCGAAATTCATGAAGTTCTTTCACTTTTTCCTAGAATTCAGTAACGTTTGAAAAAATAAAAGCATTAATAATGTAGAAAGTCAAGCCATATATTGCATTTCATTTTTAAGTTTTTATTAAATTAAAACATACTTTTCACACATTTCAACAATTAATGACAATAGCGATTGTCTAGTAGCATCACTATCAGGTGTCAAGCATATGTTTCGGAATATCACATAAAGCGGTTGATTGAACATATCTTCCAGAACCCTGAAAGTTACAAATTTAGAACAAAAATAAATCTATCTTATAACCGTAAGCAAAACTTTTGCAACGTGAAAGATTACTCAGGAACGTCTAGAAAATTTTCTGAAAGCGGTTTCCTATCTCGAATATCCCTTCTCAAAATAAGTAGAAGACATTCAGATAACAACTCGATTTGCTCCTCATCTAGTAATTCATCCTGAAATCCTATTCTCAATTTCATGTTTTAGGATGTAATAGGTTTTATTAAAAACTAAGAAATGACGGATGAAATGTAGAGGAAAACAAGATTCTTAACTAACATGCCTAAAACTATTAACAAACAGATGATATTCAAAAAAAAAAGTGATGAATGAAAAAATTTGAAACTCACATTGTCGAAGATGGAAGACAACAATCTTTGCATCATTTCACAACGCATGTCATTATCCGAATACTTTGCAGTTGATAAATTTTCAACTGGCTCTCGGAATTCTTCCTTGACGGCAGCTAGAAGAGTCATAACTTTCTCTTCACATGATAATCCATATTCATCATCAACTGATCCTAAGTCTTCAGCAGCCGACATATCAATGCCAGTTGCATCATCAGTTACTGTTGAAGTGGTTTCACTTGGTGTTACTTCCGTATCCGACACTAGTAACTCACCAGGCTCTGAAAGACGTTTCAGCGGTTCGTTCAGTTTTCTACCTTAAATAAAATAACTAAAGTACATTTAAAAAGGTGAGTACTTAAGAACGACTAGCAAGTACGGTGATTTTCATTTCAATAAAAGTTAATTTTAATCCACGAATCTGAGTAAATAGTTAGACCAATTGATAGGACCATACTGCAAGTGTCACTGGTGAAATTTCTGCACTCACATATCTTGAAGATATAGACGACTACTTATGATAATCATGGAATATTTTACCTAATCCTACAACAGGAGGATGCGTTTGCACTGTCTGAGGTTGACGAAACAATCCTCGGAAAGTGTCTCGAAAAGTATCTCTAATAACTTTCTGCAGTACAGGACTATCAAAAATCAGAGAAGGTGGCCTGCAAAACTGAAAACTATCAAACAAAAAATTAGAAAATATTTTACTTAGTTATTTCACATTTTCGACAAAATTTTATCTATCACTTCCTGCAATAATCAATTCTAAGAGAAATCAAGTGATTAAACAGTGAAATGGAACTTAAAAGAACGAAAACTCAATAAATTACACAACTAACCCTATAATATTGTGGTCTATAAGAAATTTGAACGAATTTGTCACCGAAGTTGCTATCCGTTGCTGCAGAGGTGGATGAAGTTCATAACTCATCTGAAAAAAATGACTTCTCAAACAATAACGATTACCAGATAATTTTTACTGCTTCAACAACATGAAAATTCTAACTAATGTTTATTTTGTTGCATAAAGTTCGTAAGAAACAGTCAACAATTGTTATTTGAGAAACTTACTCGTATTAAGAAATCAACAAGTGAATTTGCTAAAAGCGGTTGCACATGTAGCATGTGACGTAGTACATGAAAAGCAGGTTCTGAAAAGAAACATTTGATCTTACGGTATCAATGATGTAATCTTCTGAATTTTCAAGCCATTTAAGTAGTCATTTTTATGCCTTCTATTTGAACCCATATTCTGAAATTACGAACCAATTAGCACATGCCCACCAGTAGCAGGATCATAGCAAAACCAGTCCCAAAAAAGGTGTAGTTTACACCACTGTTGCTCCATTATACTCTGAAATCTTTCTTACGAAAACGAGAACTTTTTTCATGTACAACAAATTTTTTCAATCTCTGTTCACATTTTATATTTCTGACTCAGAATTATAAAGTCTCAGGTATATGTCCATCAGCACTAAAAATAGAAATAAGACACACTATTAAAATATTTATTAAAATACTCTATGGGATTTAAATCACACTTCTACTTTTTTGTCGAAATTATTTAAACATACATTTGTTTGAGAAAACATTGATGCAATAAATAATGCCTTCATTTCTTGACCAATTTGAGGTGTTTCACCACATGAAAGAAATATGGCACAGCGTACAAGTTCAGATCGCAGACTACTAGCTTCTGGATTCGAGAGATACTACAAAATTAGTTTTTTTTTTCTGCTCATTTTGAAGAAAATAAGGACTGAATTCTCGAAACTCAATCTCTTCTTGGATGACAACTTTCACATTCTCGAATTTTCAGCTATTTAATAATCCAGTAAAAAAATATTACTTGCTTTTTAAACCATTCCAAATGCCGTTCATGAGTACCCGGTTTCACTTTTGCAAACATAAATTCCAGTTTTCTTTGCATAGCCACTGATATACGATAAAGAGGAAATGTATGTGGGCATGTTCTACTCATTAGCTCTTCTACTAAAATACTTTGGTTGGAATGACTTCTGAAAATTTTGAAAGACGCAGGTGCCAGCAAACTTAACTATTTAATGATCAGAAATTTTTCGTATGCACTGGAAGTAGTACCTATTTGTAAAGCACACCTAATTAAATGACTTTGCAATCAATATTTCTTTATACTAGCCATAAATGAAACTGCTCCACGAAATCCTTCAATATGTTTTATCTACTTCAACTTAATAATCACCCCTAATTGTCATTCTGCACGCTCGTTCGATAGAAGTTCAATGCACATAAGCCATGAAAAACTCGAAAATCCATATATACAGATTACACGCCCACAACCAAAAAAAGTAACCGCTATTAAGTCCCAATTTGCTTGGTGAATACAAAAGTTGTTTCCATATTGCAGCAAACTGCGGTATTTTTGATACTCTCATTAATGCTAAGATCAGATCTCGTCCCAGCTGCGCGCAATCAGAGAATCGTTCTGTCAGCAACCAGTGACAAACATTAATCATCTGCGTACGTAATGACTCGAATGCATTGAAAGAACTTAAGTCACAAATAAACCTGCAAATTAAGAATTGAACACATTACACAATACCATTGGTTAAATACATCAATAAAGAAATAAATCAAAAAAGGATAGAGTAATACCATAAAAGTAGAATTAGAAGCAAAATTTTCGTGATAACATGTTAAATTTTAGCTCTAACTTTTGAATTTCATAGTTTGTAAAACTTATAAATTGTGCGGAGACCTAGTAAAAGTAAGCAAGGTAACAGGAAGAAGAGAAGCTTTTGCTTTTAATTCACTCATCCAAGTATGATTGTCGCTTAGCATCCCAGCAACTGCTTTCAGAATTGCACAACTTTCTTTCAAATCACTACCTGTAAATGAAGTAATAAATTTGTTCATGAAGTAAATGAATGTTTTAACTTAGTTCTACAGCTGTAAGATTTTCATTAAAAATTTTCTTTTACCAAGGTCAAAAAAAAATTTGTGCTGGAAAACGTCAAAACTTAAGCTCATTAATAAACTGCAAGTCTCGGTGCAATATAGCCCCTTAAAAAATTATTTAAATACCATCATTTGCATTGCGAAGGTAGTTGATGAGTACATTATCAATCTTTGGCACGTTTGATTTGATTGCTTCACGGAAAAAATACACAATCTGTTCTCGTACTTCCGAACGCATTCTTGGGTAGAGTTCAAACAAAATCATGTTGACATTGCATAGGGCACAAAACCAGCCATCTCGTGCTAACAGAGACATGATAGAAAAGTACTAAAATATCCATTAAATTTGACACGTCAACATCACCTCTCATCTTTTTTCCTCTTCATTTGAATTTTTTCTTTTATCTGACTACATCATCAACATGTCAAAATCTTAAAATCAAGTCAGCTCAGATTATAAGTTTGGAAAAATAAAAATGATGTATCTCTATTACTGCGTGAATTAAATTTTCTTTGAATTAGCAACAAATATAATGCAGGTCTTTTCTAACTTACCTTCTGCGCACTTTGTGGTTCTGTTAGCAAACCATAAAGAAGTCCGCCCGTGATGCTTTCAAAAATCTAAGATAGATAATGCAACAAAAAAGATGAATTTCACAAAATTTTTCTTCAAAAAAGAAAGAATCTCATTCCGATAAAATACAAGTTCGAAAATCTAAGAGTTACTTATCTAAATGCATTACTTTTAATTAGGCAGTAAAAGTATAAGAATTAAAGTGAATAATTATTACAACAGAATATGCACATACTTTCGTTTCTCCAGCCATTTGTAACAAGACGTCATACGATTCTTTTTCCGGAAGACCAGTGATTCGACTCTGAACCATATTAAATCCATTTTCCAATTTCTGCAAACCACTATTGTCATAAAATTTCAGCAATTTTCCTCAAACTTTTTATTTTGAAATTTCTCAATACATGTCGAAAAATAATCTAAAAAGTTATGTACAGAAGAGCATTACACATGATATAACTTACTTCTTCCAACTCATCGCGTTGTTCGAAACTGTTCAAATTTAGCAATTTGGATTGTCGCTTGGGACGTGTAATCGATGCTTCCATTTATCTTGCACTTATCACTTACTAGATGTCTTAGTTTTGTTTTTGCAATATTGATATTAATATATTATTCAGAAAATAAGTAGCAGTTGAATTATAAAGAGAATAATTTCAGTAACTAACTGCTCGGTAAGTATGATTAGCTTCCCTATACATTATAATTATCAGTTTTGAATTCAATACGATACTAAAATTTGCATAGCGTTACCCTTTTTAATGCTGTAAAGGCTAGCAATATTAAGTAAAATCTGTAGTTGGGGAAGTTGAGAGGCTTGGTTAAATGGTAATTAGCACTCTTGCACTCTATGAAGTGAGTAAATAACTTAGTGAATGAGTAATTGTCTTGTTTATTTATTACATCGTTTAAATTTTAATGAGCTTAATTTTAACACAATATTTTTTATCCGAAAGGCTATATTTTCTTTGTCACAAGTGGTATATTACCTACCTTTCGTTTGTGAGCATTATTTCATTTACTTTGTTTTAAGTATAGACATTTGCCATTTGCACACTTTTAGGTTTCGCATCACACTAGTTAATTGCTCATTTAAATACTCGATCATACTGTGTTACTTTAGTAAGAAACCATTGGTAATGTTTCTTTGTTGCATTATAATTCTTCATCGCTTCACTGTAATAACAGGCAGTAAAATATCATGATAATTATTGCAGTCTTATCTTGTTTGATCTATCAAGGATTAAATTGCATTATCCATGGAGAACAGTTCTACACCAAAAAAACCTCTTGTAAAATATATTAGGTATGAATTTTATTCTCGAATATTCCGCATATAGAGTATAAGTTATGTAAGATCTAAGCATAGAACATATGTGAATCATTTCCTTCAAAAGATAATTAACTTATGCTTTTAGTAAAGCTTTGTAATTCTCTAGGTTTCATTTGAAAAGAAGTCACATATATCCTAGTAAACTACTTTATTTTTAAATATTAATATTTGTTTTTAAGACAACTATTGGCGCTGTGTGAGCAGGCAGATGTCTTAATTAACGAAGACGATCATGAAACTCTCATACATCCAGAAATTCATTTGTTACGTTCAAAGTAAAGGAATAATTTGCTTTTGTTTAAGAACAATCTAAACTGCCACAATTGTGAAAATCTGATATTTATCATACAAAAGTCATATAGCTTTGTGAACTTCATTATACTTTTCAAGTTTGTGAAGTTTTATTATTCATATAATACGCGAAAAAATGAAGCAGGAAAATAAAAGTGAAAAAGCTGTGCAGATTGCAGCAATAAATTGTTTTTAAATCTCTTATAGATTATTTAATTTATGTTTACAATTTCATTGAATTTTTTAGGGTCATCAAGTTGTGTAAGGTAGTACTCAGTAATGAAGAATGGGGTCGTCAAATTCTCGATAGAGTTTGGAGAAGTTGTTACTATTCGACTATCTGCCGTATACGAAGAGCTGCTCTCAGTGTTGAACAAAAAATTTGGACGGAATCGTTACTTGAAACTTATGTGAAAGAATTGTGCATTTTTATACAGGATTTCCCTTACCTACGTTCTTCAGCATGTCTTTATATTGGTGATCTACGTCGGTATGCATGGCTTATTTGTGGAGCAGTGAAATATAGAAATTTGGCACTTCTTTGTTACCGGTATCAATGTTTGAGTCTAATTTAAAATAATATTAAAATGAATATTCGACACAATTAATAAAACTTTGGTACCACTGACTTCATTTTTAGTTTTAAGATAGATTAAAAAAGTAGCTGAACTTAGTTTTTCATATTTTCTGTCATTAGAGCAATTATCAAGAGGTACTATACTAAATTTTCGTACCATTTGTGTAGCAAATCAGCCAAGTTGGATGAAGAGAATGGTATTGCATTGAATCAGCTGGGCTTGCTTATACAAGAAGCCAATCCGATCTGCGCTTTGCTATACTTTCTATTAGCTGATAATGCAGAAGTTAGTTTCGTTGGCGCTTATTCCAATGTTATTAATCTGCTCAAGCAGCAAAAGGAAGAAAAATATATTACAATATCTGTACTTGAACAATGTTTTATGTGTTTCAGGTAAAGTAGTTTATATTTTTTTGCATTGAATATACGCCATGATTAAATGAACGAAATAAAGTATATCTCATAGTTTATTTGAAAAATCAAACGACAATTTGTATTCCTAAATTGACTTGGGATTTATATATTTTCAAGACTATAAGATAAAAGAAATGCTAAGAAATCATTGCATTTTTTTCATTATCAAACGTCTTTGTCTTGTATTGTAAAATTTATGCTTAGTTGTTTTGTAAACAATACTGTTTCATATGTGTTGTAATTTTGATCCTCTTAGGCAACTTGATTTCGAACAACTTTCAACGAAATGGGTAGAATTTATTTTAACACAATTAGAGACTCGTCATGCTCTACACGTTGCTATGTCAATTAACATAGTTGCTCTTGCAGCAGTTACTTTGTTAAAAAAAGGTAGATAACAGTTACATTTTTTATGCCGCTTCTCAGAATTTACGTCCCTAAAAAGCTTACTTTTAATATCCTGAAAAACAATAAAGCATACCATTCCTCTAAATGGTATGCAATAATTGCAACAAAGCATACCATTTAGAGGAATGGTATGCTTTATTGTTTTTCAGGATATCTGTCAGGATTTTATATTTGTATGCAATTATTTAATAGCATGAAAAATCAGAATCAAATAGTAAATTCCTGATCTTTCACATTTTTTCAAGTTTCTTATTTATTTTAAAATATTTTTAAATAGTTGCATTGTTCGTTTTCTTAGAATCTGCATACATAAAAATTTTAAAGTTTAGCCTGCTTATATAGCAAAATTTTACATAATTCCGTTGTCTTGAAGTACTCAATTTATCTTTAAACCAGCTCTCAGCTTCTTCATCTGACTCTTTTTTATATATTAAAACGTTGCAGCTAAAAAATATTTTAGGAAAAGAAATAGAAATGCAAGGCTTGACTAAAATGTTTTTTCGAGTCTCAAGCATCACAATTCGTAATCTAGAAGAATGGTATGCTTCATCTGCAGAAGCAACAATTTTTCGAAGACGCCGAGCTTCATCAGCAGGAGAAATGTCTGCAAGTGAAGAGGAAGAGGAAAAAAACAGCATGCAAATGTCTTCATTAGATCAGGATGTGATATCAGTTCATGATGAAGCAGATGAGGAGGAAGACTTAGTACTCAGCAAGAGAAAGCATGAAACACAACATAGAATCCAAGCACTGCTTGTCTGTTTACTGCATGCTGCAACTTCTTTGGCTCCACACGTTTACAATGACAGAGTTCCATCTTCAGTTTACTGTGTAGGTTTTTCAAGGCGAGACTATACGAACTTAGTAAAGATTCGAAACAGCTGAATTTTCTTTAAGTTATCAATAATAGTTTATGCCAGACTTGGTTTATATACAACACATGTTAATTTTTGTCTTGAATGAAAATTGAAATTGCTAACGAGTATAGGTTTTACAAAGAACAAAAAATGATGACGGATCACGACTTTGCAACATTTGCCAACAAAAATAGTATTTTCTTTACAAAGATAGTGTTTTACCTTTTCAATTTCTTTTTAATAAATTCTCGTAATTTTTAAAAAGTTTTTTACTCGAAAGACTAAGTTTGCGCATGTTTTCAGGAATATGAAGATTATTGCCAACAGTTAATACAGTTTTTAAATTTGTTAGAATTAAGCTTGGATGGTGGACTAGAGAGTTTTTGGCAGCTTGGTGGTCCAACCCCATGGGTTCTTTTAACACGTTTTTTGCAAAATTTTGTGAAATCTTCCTTTACACCTGTCGAATATGAAGAATTCTTTCGGTTCACGCCTAAAAATTCAACAAAAGAAAATAAAATGAAAAATATGGCTAAATTACGACTGGCTCATGATGCAGAAAAGGTAACAAAGGAATTGCCGTTTTTGTTGTTTTTTTTTGTTTTGAAACTTGGTCATACTTGTCTGTCACTCGCAATACTTAGTTCTTTGGCACATGGAACTACAACTGTAATTATGATTTCATACAATTTTTCATACGGTCATTAAAGTTTTTTGTTATTTTTGTGTTGGCAAAACTTAATGGAAAGTTAATATATTTTTTTGTCAACTCTTCATGTGATTTGTATAAGATATGACAATATGTGCAGAGTGTGAATTTTTTACCAGTTTTTAGAAACATTGTTATGTAAATGTAATTTTTACAGGAGCATATTCGAACATCTTTGCCACTGTACGTCATTCCAGAAGAAGATGTTTTACTAAAACGTTTGGAAACTATTAAAACAATTTTGAGGAAAGGTAAACTAATCGTAGTTATAGCGGAAGGTACATTTCGGAGTATGGATATGAAGAAAGACAAGCCAGAGGTTCGGAAAGCCTTACGTTGGATTAATGTCCGTATATCCAAAGATAATGGACGTTTAAAAATCATTCCGAAGTCAACACCAGAAAAATGTGCGGAGAAGCTGACGACACAGATACCGACGACATCTACTGTATTTGTTACCATTCTTACATTGTCGCAAGTTGAAGCTAATCCAGTTATTAAGCGTAAGTACTTTATCAAGTTTCTAGAAACATTATTGTTTTTAAGGCAATCATTGCATAGACTGATTACTCTGCAAATCATATTTGTCATATCTTTTTTTCAAATCTGTAGTAAGTTGTCTTTATTCTATCTGTGTGCGTCTTTAGTGTACCATTAATGGCTATGAGTGGAAGAGAATAGTATCAGGAAAGCTGATGACAAAGATGGCATGGTAGTGTAAAGATTACTAATTGGTTATATAAAAATCAATTATATTCATGTAAAAAATTGCCATTTAACGTTATAGGTGTTATCATTTATTTGAGGCATGCGCATCATTTGCTGATTTTTTTGTATTTTATTCGGATAAAAGGTATAAAGGTGCATCATGCGAGTAATATCTATATGGCTAAGTTATGCATAAAATGGTAGAATTGAGTTATGAAAAATGTGTGCTCTGTGATAATAATGCAGTCTTTACATTTCAGCAATAACCGTGGAAAATGTAGATGACTTTTGTGCCCGATATGAAAAGGCTCAAAAAGATTTCTCACTCAGCAATTGATATATTTGCAGTATTAGGCGGAAAATAGCACTGGTAAGCATAAAGTGAATAACTATGTTTTACGTTCATATTATATGCAATTACATTGTAAATGGTAATTGTTGGCGCGAGTACCTGTAAAGAGAATGAACATATTACATTAAGTAGGTGTGAAAGTGAAAAGTGTCTGCTGTGACCAGACCATTGGTATGGAAGTGAGGGAAGTAGGGTAGTGGCAGAGCAAGTGATGCAGAGTTGATAGGTGTAGAAAGACTGTTAAATGCTGCTTTTTTATTTTTGGCTGCAACTGCAATTTGAGAGACACTGCTAGATGCAAGCAAACAAGAGACGTAGCATTTGGGCATTTGAAGAGCGGTTAGAATTGTGAATGAGCTTGTATGAGCAGGGGAGTGCTGTGTCGGTAATTAACCTTGCTAAAATGTCCTCCAGTAGGATTAGTTAAATGAGAGGTATTGGATGCAGAAATTGTATTCACCAATATTGCGTGTCTGTACATATTAGTACTCGAGTTCTTTACAGTCTATTCTGGCTACTCTGCAGAGTAATGGAATATGATAGGTCAGTACATGTGATGACTTTCACATGGTACAAAATAGAATGTTAAGTGCGTATGAAAAGAATAAGCAGTGAAAGAAGCGACCAATGATTAGAACAGTTGGCAGAGTGACTAGGTTTTAGCGTAATTTAAACATGTATTTATTTATGTCAATGCAATAGTACGTCGTTTTCACTTTCCGTGGCAATATCTTTGCAGTAATACTGTGAGCAGGTACTTGAAGCAGGTTGCATATTTCTCTTTGTTATTGGTATGTGGCAAAGTGTGGATGAAGGGCAAGCGGTCCAGGTTGAGATGTGTATGATTGTGTCTGACATGTTTCCTGTGAGACATTAAATGCTATCTCAGGTGCGTTGTGATCTTTTTTACAGCTTACGCAAGATCCTATCTCACGCGTTGCAGTGGCAGCTACTCTTGTGTAGTAATAGTTGCAGATAGCATACTTTCATGTTTATCTTTCACCATTACTTCACGAACTGCAGATAAGGTTTTTGGCTTCCTGTCTTCTTCAGTCTGCCCATTCCTCTGCCCCAGTTGTTCTCAACATGTATTTCGTTTTCATGGTTTCAATTGTACCAAACCGTTCCAATGACGTATAATCTGCACGCATGTTGCGTGTTCTTTAGTACTTTCCGTTACTCCAAAACTGGAGCCAAGTCTATGACATCCTTTCCATCATATATTTAATTGATCTTCAAGCGTGCTCAGTACTTGCATCAAGGTAACTAGGGACTGATCCACTTGTAGATTTTCAGCAGAACATTTTGTTTGTGAGGCAAATAAGAGTATATCAAAATAAAATTAGCGAAGGAATGTAATCGCTTATATTGCGATGACAGTGACACGAGCAATTGGTGCTGATGAGCTTTGTAATCGAAACTAGTGGTTTCTGTTAGTAATGAGCAAATTGAGAAAAGCAATATGTAATGTATGAATGCTAAAATCTGTTTTGAATCTCGCTCACTTGTTTTATTCTGTCTCTAAATGGCTCTGGTATATTTGTGTGCCATAAGAAGCTATTCACTTTTCAGTTCTTCCTGGTGCTACCTACCAAATATGTTCTTGGCATTCGTTCTTGGTGGCTAGTTAGCTTATAGACAGATTGAATGTACCAGAGAGGATTCAGCTGCTGATCGTCATTTAAGCTTGCTCTTTCTGCATCATGAATCTCATTGGCAGCGTTATATCTACTACTGCTGCTTATCCTTACCTCCTAGCATTTGCTTCTCATCCACTCATTATCAACATTGTTAGTATAAATTTCCATGGCTCATCACACTCTGCACATTATTCAAAGCAAGTGGTCTTCACTCGCACCAATCTCTTACTAATGTCTCTTCTTCGCATGCATGTTTGAGAAGTAGTGGTCGTGAGAATGGAATAATTTTTCTTCTGTGTAGTCACATATCTCTCATATCCTTTCTTAATTTGCTCTCTCATATCAGCCATTCAAAAAATGCTGCAGTTTTTGAAGTCATTTCACATTTCTGCATTCATTTTTTTCGCCCCCATTACTCCATACTCCATCATCGTTCAGCTTATTATTCACAAAATTTAGTTTCTCAGATCATGCGAACCATTTTAATCGACTCATAATCAATATAGCACCTTTTTATTGCCGTTCCTGTTGTCTACATCATTTTCAGTAGTAAAATATATTAATGCTCGAAGTAATCGAATTATTGGTTTCCATATAGTGATTGCATTTTGCACTGCTTGATGTTATTGTCAGCTTTTCAAATTATCCAAATCTTATGCATTTGAAGGATTTGTTTACTCTTCTTTATCGACATATTTCGTCTCTACATATTCCACTTGCTCACTCTATCGTTCTTCAGAATGTGATGAATTGAAAAGCGTATCGAGGTCATTTATTTGTTGTGGAATCTGATTTCCTGGCTTGATGAATGGAACTGCTTACTGTCAGATATGAAATTTAAGAGTTTGTTTGTTAGTGTGTGTTTAAGTGGTTATGTTGAATGATCTTCGATGCTACATCGGTCGCAGTGATATGGGAATCGGATAATAGGACATGAATTTTTTAAGTGCTATTCATCAACTATTGTTGCGTATTATTTATTACTGTTAGTAATCATAGATTGGTTTTTATTTGAGATTAAGCAGTTTGGTTTGTTGAACAATTAATCACGATTATTTTCAAACTATGACGTTGCAAATTGTTACATACTGATGACATCCTTATCTGTTCTGGAAGCTATCCATTAATTTTTCTCTTTTTACTGCATTAGTTTCAGTGTTGTACCTCATCGATTTTCAATGATTGAACAAGTGAAGCGAAATTAGCTCTTTCGTCTGTAAATGATACATGTCACTTGCCACTGGCCATACCAAATTGCATTATTTGCTTTTAATTCAGGACGAGATTTGGTATGTTAATTACCAGCAAACAAACTGTTAGATGATGGTTGTTCTATATGGTTGAGCAACCTTTCGGAATAAGGCTGTGGTAGGTAGGTTGTTGTTCTCACTTGATTAGGCAAGGAATTTTCGTCACTTGAAAAATCCAAATTTCTCAGTGTATATTTGAACTTGTTTTACTTCTGGACATAAACTGCATTTATTTCAAATTATGGGTTCATATCTTTTTAACTTTATCGTTATTAGTTTCAGATGTCTTAAAATGTCTTACCCTGCCAGCACGATAGTTTTCAGTGGTCAGAGTTACGGTATGAAGTCGAAAATATGCTAATGTTGGTTAAGTTTGTGTCGATGAGATTTAGACAGCATACTGATCCAGAATTTTTTGCCGTGAAATGATACAAATAAAGTACTGCAAAGTTGGGATGTATAACAGGAAAAAATGAGTCTCTTTGAGATGTATATTGTTCTTACCATCCAACGTGATGACATTTATTTAATATGTTGTGAATATATTTTGAAAATAGCGATGACATAGATTTTTCTTATGATGTGCTGTGGAAAAAATTTATATGTCCTTGAAGAAAAATACATAAGATCTTAATCTCTTTTCAAAATTATTGCAGTTATTATTTATGCTATTTTTTCTTATGAAAATGAAATAAAACTGGATTAGTGATGTGTAAATTGCAGTATTCCATTTTTAGTGATTTCCACTGTTTGATATTTTTTCTCTTTGGCATTTTGAGGGTGGTACTGTAATCACAGCGAAAATGTCTGTTATTTTTTGGAAAATTAATAGACTTATTTAGCAGCTTGTCGAGGTTACTTTTATTACTTTAGAATGTTTATTTATCAGAAATGCAAAATGCCGAATGCGCATGTTTAAGTTCGTCATTGTTTTAAACTCTGAAATTACATTTATGTCTCGTAAATCTCTTTACAATTTACTACGAAAAGAATACCATATATTGTATTAAAAAGCTACTGATGAAAGCTGGTGTGAAGGTTAATGTGGGATTATGGCACATTGCAATTTTGATAGTTTGAGATCATGAAAAGTAGTTACCAACTCAGGGATGATGTGAGTTGCTAGTGAATTTGTTGATATAGATGGGACTATAGTGAAATCACTGAGGTCGTGTTTTCCTATTGTTTTAAGTACATCGGTGTGCATGTAATGATGTCTTTAATGGACAGGCTAACATCAGAATTTTATTTAATTGTAGTAAAAGCGCTGTACACTTCTATCATTCTTGAATTGTTCTTCACGTAATTGAGTTCGGTCGTGTTTCACTTAGAGAAGAAAAAACTTTATTGCCCATACAAACAACGAAGAGATAGCTGGGCGAAGCTGTAACGGAGGATCGAGTGTTGTTGTGGTAGTAGTATTTGTTTGACGCGAGCAACAACGTACTAAACATTCCATCATTTTCATAGTTTGGTTGTAGGTCTGAGTTCTTTATTTTTGTTATCAGTTCGGATATATATGTGCATTTGTCTGTGATTTAAAGGTTTTGCACAATGTTGTCTTTAATCATTGTGCAGCCAGTAATGGAATATGATATAGAATCAGGTTTACGAAAGATTGATGAATGGACAGAGCGGCTGAATGATGGCCTTGCTATTAGTGCTTGAAGTGGGACGGTATATGTTTAGTAGTGAGAGTTGATGATACTGAATCATATAGTATTAGTTATACCGAATTTGAGTCATCAGATTATTTCCGAAATAATTGTGTTGTTAAGTGACTTGGTGCAATTTGGGTTGTAGTGCACGCTTTCGCTTCCATTGCTGTTATTGGATCTGTAAGTGTTAGAGGATAAGCTTCGATTAAAAGCAATATATCTATTCGGGCTTCTCTATTATAATGTTGAGTATGATTAGCAGTTTCTCACTTGCATTTATTCTTTCATTCATTTTTCCACTTTACACTCTACTAAGTACTCTTCCACGTTCATATGATAATTCTTTTGACAAGACTTTATTTAAATGACATTTTGATGGCTGAACTCTCTTCATTTCAGCCTCTTGCTTTGCTAAGAATTAGCTGCGGTGAGTTGCT